AATATGGGAAAATATGTGCAGCCTAGTAAAAAGTAAACACATTCTTTATGTTACTCTATGGATATCCATTATTACCTGACCTCCATTTACACTTTATACCAAAAATTATACCCAATCTATTCCTACCACTGTTGCAGGTAATTTTTATAGGGTCAGATGGTCTAAGGGGAAAAAAAAGACTGAAATTCAAAACAACTCCTACTGTTCTTTGGCATGACAAACCTGTACATATCTTTTTCCTTCTTTTTTAGCTCTGCTGTGGGAATAAGAAGACACTTTAGGCAAAAGAAAAAGTTGGGAAAAAATAACATTCCAAATTCTGGCTATGCAGAACAGAGTGAGAAATTTATAGCAATGAAGCCAGACTGGCTGCTATAAACTAAAACAAAGTCTAATTCTCTGAGTAACAGAAAACAGAGAAATTTGAATTGTTGTAAAAGCCTTTTAAAGATTGAAACATGGGTACTAAATATTATTATAAACCACAGCTGGGTCATTAGGAAATTATGAAGTCATATTAACTCACTAAAATCACAAAGATACATTACAAAACCACAGGAAGCAGTGATGGTAATTTATGTCATATTCTCAGCTAAAGATTTCTGAACAACTATTAACTGCAGTACTTCCACCCTGATGAAGTTTTTAATTTTTTTCCAGTCCCCCTTCCTTCCTTGAAAGGCAAATTGTGCCAGAAGACTTTTCCAAGTTAATTACTTGCTGAGTGAAGCACACTCACAGGCTGGCTACAGCTTGTCTCTCTATTTTTGGGTGCCACTCACCACTCCAACATGTTGTACAAAGTATTGACTCTGAAAGTATAAAATGAAAAGCAATACCTTCCATTTTATACACTAAAATACCAGGGAAAACAAAATGTAGCTTGGAATACACAAGTGAAATTGAAATTTGCCAATTTTAATCTACCAGAACATTGTCATTTTCCTAAAAAATGTTGCAAGACTTTAAATGACCATAAGTAACTAGTGTCTCAGTTTTCTCATCACTAAAATGCGTCATTTATCATCTACTCTGTATTAGAGTTAATATAAGAACTGGTAGATAGTGAGGGTTGTGTTTATTTCAAAAATTTTTGGTGTGTCAAAGAAGGTTTGTCTCAGCTGTTAAGGTTAAGAAACATCTGTCAAAAATTATATTTTAAATAAATTTAAATTGTTCTATAATAGGAAGATATTAAGGATGTATTATAATGAAATTTTCTTTAAATTCTTACATTTATTGGAATAAAATAAAATCCCCCACAAAAATAAGGCAATTATTAATATGAAATGAAATAATAATGAGATGTCATTTGAGTTGAGTTATTAATTGGGTGATAAGATCAAAATGATGCACATTTATACATATAAAAATAATTAATTTTCCAACAGAAAATTAGAAAACATGAACATGTCATCAATGAATTCAGAAGCTTTCTTTGGGAGAACAGTGAATGGAACAACCTTCTTCGTTGCTGGAGAGAATAAATAGTTTTCTAAGTGTGTAAAAAGATAAAAAGTAAACTGGACACCTGCAAAACCCTCTTATTTAAAATATCTAGTCCCTAAAAAAATCTACTTCAGTAACATTTTCAGAATATCTGGCAAAAAGCCAGATGTATCAAGTTTAGTACTGTACTGAAGATAATCAAAATTCAGAACTCAATTAAAGTTGAAATATTTTAAACATAAGTTTCACTACAGTGCTATTTAGATAACAAAGGCAGGTATAATGGTTCTGCAAGGTGATGGAATGAGTCTTGGAAGAGAATTGTGAGTCTGCAAACATAATAACAAAAAGGTTTCTCTGGGTTATTAAATAACCCAGGCAACTCCCTGGAGCCTTGAAGTAATCAGGAGAATATTTTGGTCTGTCCTTTAAATTTCAAAGGATTTGTTCTGCAGAGAGAATAGAGTTTCACAAATGGCATTTTTTAATGAAACACTCTTTATCTTAAAAAAATTATCAACCAGTTAGTGTCTTCATATAAACCTATCTCAAAAGACATCTCTGCATCAAGAAAGGAGGAATGAAGGTTGCCCAGACACAAATGAAATCATAATGAGACAAAGAGTGGAAATTGTTTTCTAATTATTTCTCCTGTAAACACAGACCACAAAGAAAAGGAATTTTTGTCTGCAGGATGGAACAAACGATTGGGGTGGAAACAGGAGTCAGAAAGGATGCACACTACTGTCAATAAGCAACAGGCAACTAACTAGTCCTAATAAGGATATCTAGCATGCATTACCTTACCATGGATATAAAAAGGGAGAAAGAAATTAGTAGGAGATAACATTAGCCAATTATTCTTCTGCAAGAACTTTTACTCATAGAACCTTGACAAACCCTGGATGAATCCATATTATCCAGGCTGCCTTTTCTCCCATGTGCTCATGTAGTGACAGAACAAATTCTACAGCACCAATGGGTGCAGTCTAGAAGTTAGGAAATAGTAAATAACACTTTTATTGTCTACTTTTATAAAATACTCACAAGCCTTGAGCTGCAGAACATGGTAGGATTTTATGAAGATATCCATGTTCCAAATACCTCTATTTTTGGCACATATGAATGAATGAAGCATTCCTCTTCAGTGAAACTGCTTTGGCTGCCTATAGCAAACACATCTGAACACAACTTTTTTTAATGAGATCACAAAAGCAATCTCAGTTCTACTCATATTGCAAAAAATTGATTAAAATCTCGGGCTTCTGGTTCACTGCAAATGTCATTTTTGTTCATATTTTTCTGATTTGTGGTGAATGGAAGGATCTTAGATCTCTCTTCATTGATAACCATGAGAAATTTTTTCATGCTAAGAAAAAAAAAATTATTTCATTAAACTTTAGGTAAAGAACTGTAGATCTTTATTTGCTAATATGACCAAAATTTTTCATAGGCCTCCTTAAGGGTTATGAAAGAAGTCATCCAACACAAAAATTCTCAAACAGACAATTAGAAGTTTAATAGACCAATAGACAAATATTGAATATTAGATGTAGAATGCCTAGCTTTCGTATTATGTTTTTCTTGATAGTTTAGAGTAGACACAGAATTCAGATGGGATCTAACAAGTGCCAAGCAGAGTGCTATAATTGCTCCCTATGGTGCCCTCTCTGTGCCTCTGTGAATATCTCCAGGCTGCCAGGGCACACAGCTGGGTTGTGCTCAGTTTGTGTTTGCCAAGACCTCCAGATCCCTCCCTGCAGAGCTGCTGCCAGTCAGGCAGTCCCCAGCCTGTGTCCCTACACCAGTGCTTCCTGTCCCAGAGCAGCACTTGTATTTCAATTTTCTCTATACTCTACTAAGATGATAATTTTCACTCCTTTGTTATAGTGGTGGTGCATTCAGTCATAGGAAATATAAATGTCCTGGCATCACAGACAGCCTGCTTATCAGCAGATAACCAATACTGGGACACAGGTTCTAAGGAGAACAGACATGTCTTTCAAAAGAGTTGGTTGTGGTTCTGCATAGGATGTGGAAGATGTCTCTTCCGCCTCCTGAAGAGTGATCCAGTGTCGCAGACATCTTTACATTAAGAATCTTTCCTTAAGATTTTTTCCTCCCGAAAAGCTGAGAGGCTTCAGGAACAAAATGTAAATAATGGTTATCTGCTGCTGTGGAATGCAACAGGTGGATCTGTGATTGGTCTGATGTTGGTTTGTTTGTAATTAATGGCCAATCATGGCAGAGTTGACTTGGACAGAGAGGCTGAGGCAGCTGCCTTTATCATTGTTTTCTTTTCTATTCTTACCCTAGCCTTTTGAGGAGAACTTTTCCTTCCATTCTTTTAGTGTAGTTTTAATGCAATATATATATCATAAAATAATAAAATCAAGCCTTCTGAACAGGAAGTCAACATTCTCTTCCCTCACCTGAAAACCCCTGTGAACACCGTTGCAATTCAGAAGCCATAGACAGCTTAAGGCCAGACTGTTTGTCAAATGGTTAAGGAAGGATGGGCCAATTGTGTTTCAGAACTATGTTCTTATCTGTACTATTTTTATAGGAAAATCTAAGTGACTACACTGACAACATTTACCCAGGAAATGAATCTCCCTTTGAGGGCAGAAATGTCTGCATGACTTTATTAGCATGAGGTTAGTTTTAGAGTACTGTAACATTTATTTAGGAAATATATTTACGGTTTCCTAAATGATTATAGTTTCTTTCTTCCTTGCTTGAATTAATGACAAGAACCACTTTATATTAGAAGCAGAAGAAAACAAGCAAAATGACTTTAACAATTAATTTTATTATTTTTTTAATTTTAATTTTAATTTTTTAATTTTAATTTAGAAGGTGTTTGTTTCTTTGTTATAGAGGATCTGTGTATAGGGTGTGGTTGGGACGGAAGTAAGTTTCTTCAGCACCTCTACAGTTCACCATTTTAGATTTGTGAGTACAAGAGGGTTGATAGCATAGCTATTTTAATTATTGCTGAACATTACTTGCAGAGCATCAAGGACTTCTCTGTTTCTCACTCTGCACTCCACCCCAGCAAGTGGGCTGTGTATCAGCCACAGCTTAGGAGGAGAAGGAGCTATAGCAATGAACCCAGACATACCAAAGGGATATACCATACCATAGAACATCATGATCACTTATAAAACTTGGGTGGGAGACGAGTTCCGAGTTCTTACGAAGTAACCATTATTCAGAGACAAGTTTCTATCAGTCTGCCGGCAAGAGGTGGTTTGTAATCACATTTGCATCGCCTTTTGGATTTTGGGTGGTTTTTTTCACTCACTTATTAAAGTGCCTTTATCTTAATCTATGATTTTTTCTTGCATTTTCCCTTCTAGTTCTCTTCCCCATCATCCTGAAAGTGGGGAGTGAACGATTGGCTGGTGGGGGCTTAGTTGCTAACAGGGATCAATCCCTCATACTCTGGGACCAAATAAGTTCTGTTTCTGTAAAATAAGATGCACGTGCAAAACAGAAGATGTTATATCATTCCATGCACAAATATTTTTATGATGCAGTTATCTTACCTTGATCTGAATAATTTTGAATTTTCCTTCTTTTTCAGATATATCTCTTTTTTTCATTATCTTAGAGAGCATTTTTGTGTTTTCTCTAAGGCATCTATGTATTAGTTGCAGTCATCTATGTAGTCAGAAGAGTTGTAGTCTTGATCTCCCAAGTACCATATCATTTCCTGAAAATAAGAATTGCAATTCAAGATCTTGTTGGCATTTTTAAAGTACTTCAACTCTAGAAAACAAGTCAATATATCTAAGTCTTTATCATTAACTTCTTTCAAACTTCTGGAGAATGGAATTAACATTCAAAGATAAGACTAGACTTGACACTGAGATGTTTTATAGTTTTATGGTCATTTGAATTGGAAATGAGAAATATTTATTTTCGAGCTTAGGAAAGGGTGTCTCATGAGGACATATATATTTATAAGTGTTCTTAACTTTAGAGGTTTGAAATGTCGTGAAAGTAATGAAAGTCATAAGCTCTCCACTGGTGGAGAAAATAAGCCTTATGTTATGTATTGGCGTGAGATCTAGATGTTATGTAGAATTGAAGTCAAATAAGAACAATTTTCTATCTAATTCTTAATCTTGATTTGGGTTTCAAATTCTTTCTGAAGTTTCACGCCCCTGACCACAGTGACAAAATTGAAATTTCATGATAGGCTAAATTATAGCGCTTTCAAAATGAGATTTAAAAACCTCACAGAACAGTCAAAACACTTTTCAAATGTTTTCCAAGGCTATTGATTCCACAGAAGGTGACAGATCCCTCTAATATATTTTCAAATCAATGAAATTTTGTAAGACACCCTGACATTTGCTTCAGCAATATGAACAGAAGTTGCAGGGTAGTCTTGCCCATCTTTCTTACCAGTGGAATAGCTTTTCAGTCTAAATGAAGGCTAATTTATTCCTCTGTAAACTCAATATTCAAATAAATTATATATATTTGTCCCCAGATTATGTTCTTCCCTGTTTCAGTTTTGATTTACTTGGCTGCTCTTTGATGTGATTTGCACAAGGTTTGGCAATTCACTGACTCACCACATCTACTTAATGCCATAGTTCAAAGATTTTCCATAGAGGAAAATTTTCTAGAAATTCATACCTTAACATTTAACAGCTTCAGATATGAAGCAGTAATTTGGATTGTTTATTATGAAAATATGTAGTTTTATTAAGAAAACCGTAACTGAAATTCCATCCACAATTTGCTTTCTGCTATTCAGAGGTCTTGTTGATACCACCTAACAGGGAAATAATGTTTGTTCAAATGATGAATACAGATTGAACAACCATATTTATCTTTTAGAATGATATTTGGAAGTCTTCCCTTTGTGAAAGAGAACAGTTTCATTTTAACAAAAACAGAGGAAAAGAGCTTTCCAGGTCTAAAGGGAGTATATCAGAAGGTGTCACCTGCTAGTAGGTGTTGTGGGTTTCAGAGAACACTAGTCCTTCTGAAGGCAACCAGTAAAGTGCCTGCAAATAATCCTTACGTTCATGTAAATTTCAAAAGACAAAACTGTGAAGCACTGAAAAGTTGGAATGTGGTAAAAGTTCTTACTAATTAAAAGAAATGTGCACCGCAGCAGCAACAGGATTTGTGCAAGGGAGTCTCATACACTGGGGCTGTTCTCTGTTTCTTATTCTAGGAACTAAAACCCCTGGGTTGTTACTTCTCAACAGAAAGTCATCAAGGCTATTGGTGAGTATAATGCTGGGGCTTTTTTCCACAGGAAAAAAAAAAAAAAAAATCTTTAAGTTCTGTTGACTCATTATAATTGATTTTGGTACTTAAATGTCACAGCTCTGAACCGGCATCACAGGACGCAGAGCTACACTGGTGTAAAATAATTAAAAACTTGTGTATCACAGAGCTTGCATTCCAACCTTTAAACAAGAAATACAAGAAGAATAAAATAGAAATTATGGACATGTTCTGCCCTGGAAGTCAATGATTTTGAAAAATTAACTATCTAAATAATGTCATGTTTCCTGGAGAAAATTTTGACAAATGAAAACAAAAGAAATTAAATTTGCTTATTGACAAATAATGTTGCAACACATGGACTTGCACTTCAGTAGTGCTGAAGCTGTTAATTTCAGTGTTTAGCCAGAAAACAATGGGAGATAATCTTATCAATCTTATGATCTTTATCTTATAATATGTTCCAAGTAACTTTTGGTAGAGAATAAAGAATGGTAAGTAGAGTGAGAAATTGTGATTGGTGCCCTTAAAAGTGATACTTTTTTAGGCAAGTTCTAGAAAGGTAAATTTGAGGAAGAAAATGTAAACAAGGAAGCATTTATGGCCTTGGTAACAGAGAATATAAATAAACTTTGTTGCAGGATTTTATATAAATCCCAGGGGGAAAAACAAAATCAAGTGTAGGTGGTATGGTGTCTCAGTACCTTGACAAGAGTTCAGCTTTGCAAGCAGCCATCAAAGGAGTTGTTTCAGAGGTATTATACAGAAAAACTGAAAGATTAGTAAATTTGTGAATTAATGATGATATACAGGTGGAATTGAATGCCATTCATGGTAAGGATGTCAAAAGAAAATAATACTCTTGGTAGATAAGAATAGTTCAGGACAAGTTTTTAAATAAAGAATATGAGAAGAAGCTGCAAAAATATGGTGCATCCACTGATTTTAAAGGTAGAAGAGTAAACAGACATGAGATGGTTATCAAAAGAGCAAAATAGAATTGCCATTAAAGAAGAATGTGCTTGAGACAGAAGAAGAAAATAAAGACATTAGAGGGAAGATAAGATCATTAGAAATGGATGGATAAACCAGGTATGAGAATTGAAGCAAGAGGTAAATACAAAAAAGTCCCAGAAAACCAACCAAACATCGGGAAAATACGCTTATGAACCATGTAAAAGAGTGACTCATCAGATGAATTAGCATTTCTTAAATGAAAGTCTTTCCCAAAACACCTTCTAGTTAATGCTGTACAAATATACATATATTCAGTTTTGAAGTATTCTAAAATTTTCTGAGTGGTGATCTTTAAAGTGGTGTGATAGGAAATACTGCCCATCAAACCACTTCCTGTAGTAACAACCACTCCTTTTGTGACTGTGTCCTCATGGATGACCAAACCCTTACTTTTAGGATCATTTTAATAGATTGGCATTGCTGCAGAAAAGAGGTGAAAAAGCTGGAGGGCAAAGTCCACATGCAATGTGACTTCAATTAGGTTTCTGGCCAAGCATACTTCAGCTTTCACTGAAGTTAAGAGAAGACTGCTACTGATTACAGAGGAATAGGATCAAAAATGCCTGACAAGGTGAAGATTCCATGAGATTTCTTTGTCCTCCCCTCCTTTTAATAGCAGGGAAAAAAATCATTATTTTTCTTTTAAGCTTATGTTAAGGTTTGGACTTATTATCATAGATTTTATAAAGTAAAGATGTAAAATGGAAAATAATACATTTTGTTTCCTCTGGTTTGTCAGTTTTTTTTTTCCTTCTTTATATTTCATTAGACTAGAAAAATCCGTAGGAAAAAAATTTAGAAGAGTCTTGAGAAAAATGAACCTTAGATGTCATTTAAAAAAAAATACTTACCTCTACCCTTTATTTTTTTCTCTCTTCTGCAAATATTTCTTTTGTCTATTGCATGGTAGGAAGGTGGTTTAAATAGTTGCAGTACTTTCCTTGCATGGAAATGAATGTGTGACATCTTTGCCCTTTTTGTTGAGTTTAGGAAAATGAAAATTCCTCTATCTTATGCCTTTTACTATTTCCTGAAACAGGTGCTTCTGAATTTAATATAAATGTGAAAAACTTTTCAATAAAGTGGTATTAATCAAGAAATGAACAGTTCCTTGGCAATGTCAGAATTGTGGTCAGAAAATTTGCCATTTTTGGAGGTATACTTGGACTGTTCCATTCCACCAAGCCATGGTGATCAAGAATTGTACAAAATACTCTCTTATAATGAGTAATTCTTTATGGCTTTTATTCAGGTGGAAAGCCCTTCTGGGCTTCTGATTAGATTAATGGGAATTGATGTAATGTAACAAATGTGTAAATAAAAGAATAAGAATACTGAAGATGTCTGTGGTCAAAAGTAATTAAAATGTGGATTGTTGGACATTATCAAGATAAGCTATTTAAAATGAAGTTTCTTGCTGATTCTTTAACTGTACAAGCACATAATGCTCGATTCTCCTCGCAAGACACAGACATTAGAAGAAAATCAGCTGGAAAAACAGCTAGTCAGTCTGTTAGGATCACTTCTGTTAGCTCAAGAATAGAAGAAAAATCACCAAGCTATTAAATATGGGGAAAGCCACACTCTGTAGGATGAATTGAAGATAATTGCAGAAGCATAGGCATCCAAAATGCCAAACCTAAAAAATTCCTCATTTCTATCCATCAGGCTTTCTATTGTCTGCATCATTATTTCCATATCTTCCAGAGTACAATATATTGTGATGAATTGGTGTGTCCTTACTTTCTCCCTGCTTGCCTTGCAGCAAGAACTAAGTGGCTCCACTACTGGGTGCAAGTAATGTGAGGACAAGAAAAGGTAGCTTGTAATTTTCACCTGAGTAAACATGACAAAGTAAACTCTTTTCTCCTTCAAAACTTTAACTTCCACTAGTAACTCAGATTAAGGCAACAAGCATCTTTGCTTTCACTGAGTTTTTATGTTGTATCTTGATTCCATTGAACTAAAAAAGAAATACAAAACTTTATATTTTAGTTATGTGAAAACCAGAATTATTCTGAGGTAAGTGATTCAGCACTGCATATTAAAGAGAAGAAAGTATTTCGTGTGTCACATATTTCTTGGCTTTTACTATATTTCCAAGCTGTATTTATCTACTTCTCTCAAAAAAATTGGTGTCATTTACTGTCACCCAAACAATCACAAGTTGAGCATTACAGCTTTGCCTAAAAAGCAGCTGAAATGAGCTGAAAATACTACTATGAAACACATTCATTTATGAGATGGTGCTTTACAAAAGGCAGGCTGTCAACTTTGTCCTGTAGTCACATTTGAATTTGAAGAGAACTCAAGTAGAAGAAGAAATGAGAAAGGTGAGGGAAAAGTAGGTTAAGATAGGAACAAATACAAGGAAGTCTGGGATTACATAGGGCCAAGTAACTTCTATACAAGCAAGGATGTTTTTTTCCTACTATATATAAAATA